CCTTCACCGTACAGGACCGGGTTGGTTGAGAATAACTCCCGAGTTTTCGCTGCTAGGAAGGTTTGTGCTACAGCTTGGTTGAGGCGTCTGCTTAGGAGTTCGCGCTTTTTTGGAGTTCTGCGTTACCGATGAAGGAGTTCTTACATGACACGCTAGACTGCTTATCTCAAAAGAATGCTCAGAAGCTCGTGGAACATCAGACGGGCGAGAATTGAGGAAGACGCCATTTTAAATGGGTATACGAACTGCCTGGTTTGTACAGCAAACTTGGTTTGTGTGAATGCAATACCGACAGTTCGACCACCGCTTTTGACGACGTCTACTATGTACTCCACAAAAGGATGACACAGGGAGAGTAGATTTCGCAGCATCTACCTCAACTCCCCCACCAGGGTCTGGTGTCAAGATAGAGTCCAGGAGAGGGAGATGTATGAGGCACGCAGGCTCACGCAATCAAGGGCCACTACAAGTTCGACCATATACTCCACCACAAAGTAGCGCAGGTAGGGTGACTTGCATTGCTCTTATCTCAATCGCTCTATACTCCAACTTGTGCTCGGTGTCAAGAAACAGTCAAGAAGACCGGAAACGGCCACGAGAAACAAGAAAACAACAGCCTGCATCCGCCGTTTATCGAGCCTGTAAGTAAACTGTCATACCCTCTAAAAGAGCCACGACTCAAAGTCCTGTTGGCTGTGTCGCCAGGAGAATTCAAATGCACTTGTAAACATTATATCCCAGAGACAAAGCAACATAGGGACCATTGTGCCTTCCCCTGAAGTTTTAACCCAGGCAGTTAGCTGACAGTCAGCAGTCAGATAGTACCGACGGGGACACAAAAATGTTTGGATTCTGACTGAACAAAGACTTATCAGCCAGCCATACCTCAGGCAGCATACGCACCGCCTGTTTAAGAAAGATTAACGCTGAATCGGACGACGTGCATAACATCAAGCTCGCTTACTCTTAGAGAAGCAAGCTAACTTTAAGGAAATTGCTAGTACGGCACAATGCAGTAGCTGTTATGGGAGTGAGAAACCACCTACATCGTCCCCCCACCCGCCCCTAAACGGATAGTTTAGCGTTACTGAGAGAGACAAACTGCACAGGGATTGTAAACACACGCCATCCGATGGCATCTGGTTTCTGGTCACCAGAGTGCATAACCTCAGACACGCTTCGTGGGGGAAGGGAGGGGGCAAGATGAGACGGGTGCACAGGGTTGGATCGGCAGGGGTAATCATCATCCTCTTGCCAACACAAGCGAGCATGCGAGTCCCTGGAAGTAACTGAGAAGAAGCAGATGCGATCTGTGGAACAAGAAAAGTCTGGAGTAGTCTGGGGCAGTTAAGGACAAAGCAATTACGTCGGACTT